AAGTGGAAACCGTTCCTCAAAGTTTCAGAGAAATTTGGTTTTGTTACCGATTCGAATGTTTAATTATCCTCTTAGAGGGTCGCAACTGGAGAAATCTTTGACCGTTGATGGCTAGTTTTTACACCGTTTTGACCATTGACGGTTAAACTTTAGGGCCTTTTACGGGTTGAAAATTAGATATCGATCGAAATTAGAACCAATATGGATTTTTTTTATTTTTGGATATGAATTATAATTTATAATGAGATCTATTCAGTCTTCCTCTGTCGAAGTAAAGTGAAGCATAGTTGCAAGACCTCTCACAGTAGATAATGATTAGTTTCAAACAACCCCTTCGTTCCTGGTATTAAAGGTGCAAACAGTGTTAGCAGAAATTGCAGACCTCATTCTTCGAGCTCTGAGCATATTACGTTCAGAGCGCGAACAAAATTAGATCCACGTAGTGTACCGAACGTGACTACATACGCTCGCTTTGTACTTCCTTGCCTAACTATGGAAATAAATAGATAAAACTACGAAAAGATTGTTATTTCTTCGAATTAGCACAAGCACGATTCCCTTTTTATATTGTTGGTGATTAGTCTTTGAGAACATGTCTTACCGTTAAAGTCGCCCTCTCAGCCTCTCCGCGCAACAGGTCACTTAACGCCAAGTCGAGTAGTTTTTGGGTCGTAATACAGCAATTGTTAGTTTTTCGCATTCAGTGATTTCACCAACCGTTATAGCTTGAGCCCAAATGAACCGAGCCCAAATTTGGCGATTAAGTTGTTGATCTCGAGGAAATCGGATGGTTTTCTCCGCCGAAAGAAGATCTTATCATGTAATTCTCGATAGCTTTTACACTTCGCTTCACAGTCAAGGCTAGCGACGGCCCTCATCATGCTTCAAGTATCTTGAACTTGGTAGTAACTGAGTTTTTTTTCACAGTTTCCATTGAACCATCCCATTTGTCAATACAATTTCTTACGTTTCGAGTGGCTGAATCTATTGTTGGAAATTTTGCATGGTAACCTTTGAACAAGTTGACTCTTAGCAAAAAGAATGCGTGCTCCAAGCTCACATGGAAAACGTGACATGAAAACATGAGAGATTTTTTTTTATGGTTATATATGCTTTTAAAGAAAAGGAGATGACAGTGAAAACGTTCCAGGAAATTATAATTTCATGCCAATTCGTCAATGAAAAATAATTTAATTTGCCATTTCAACTGCCATCGGAAGAGAAGTTAGAAGAATCTTTGTCTGCAGAAATATATGCTCTTGGACGAGAGGGAACCGATGGGAGAGCGGGAAAAGTGCCCCGTGACTAGCCTAGACCATTTTTAACTCGTGCAAACGAGTTTTTATTCAACAATATTCACTTCGCCTCCGGCGAATAATTGTTAAGGCTACTTCCCACCCTCGGAGGCCGAAAATATCGATTTTTCTTTAATTTGACAAAACTGGATTCAAACTCATAGCCTAACGTTTCCATAAAAAAATTTCTGAAATCTTTAAAAGCACCCGAGTTGGAAAAACCTTTGCTCGTAGAAAAATCAAAAGCGGGGGAAATTCCTTGGTAAAAAAAAAAAAAACAGGCCCAAAGAAGAAAGAAAGAGTACCATTTGTTTCTTAAGTTAACGCTGAAGACATTTCCTCAAGCATTATGGTAAATTAGAAAAATAACGGACAAAGCTTTTTGCGTTGCTAATTTTACCGTCGCGGGGTACTTATTGTTCTTTTCATATTTTTTTCCAGAAACCTTTATCTAAAATCATTGTAAATGAAATCTTGATGGGAGTTTGAGTGAGCGTTTACCCCTGAGGGGTTTTAAGCCATGTTTTTATGAAAGCATATTCATTGCTAGATATTTTGAAGGTCATATTGTCGAAATAGCGTTATTTTCTACATACTGAGAAAGGTTGAGCCTTCAATCAAGGTTGATACTGCTCTCCTCCTCGGCGAAAGAACAATTCGAAGGATAGGCATTTGTTCTTGAGTTAATGCTGAAGATATTTCTTCTAACATGAAGTGGGTTTGTCGCTGATAACAAAAGATTTAGTAAACCTGCGTCATCCTCTTCAAGTAGAAGCGTAAAACTTTGGCAGAGATTTTCACTGTAGATTGTACGCTCGAAATTTCTATCGCGTCACAGTTGATGAGGGCGAAGCCCAAATGAACTAACACGCATAAAAATCGAGAGAAAATAATCTAGGTCTTCAATTGAAAATCTTCTAGCCTTTCAATACTCAACAACAAGACAGGCTGATGCTTTTTATTTTATTTTGTTTACACCTGCACACTGTTACGCTACTCACTTAACTCGCTATCTATTACGGAATAGATAGAGTATAGCGTGGCCAATCAGACTGCAGCAGTTTTGATAAAACGCTGGTAGCTAGGATAGAAACAACTCTGCTTCCTGGATATGTAAAGAGAGTCTGTTTCTGCTTCTATTTACTTAGTTTTGTCTACAAAGCAAAGAATAGTTTCCCTTTTAACTCCCAAATATGACCTCCGACGAACTTTTCCTTACAATTTCAGAACATTATCCAGCAGATTAGTGATGGGAGCTGAAAACCTATCACCTCGAGGGTGTTAAAGCGATATAAAAACCAATTTCTCTTTCATGCAAACGTTTCACAGCAAGAAGGGAGAATAATTTATCCGATCCGAGAGTTAAAGGACGAACAACGATTAGGAATCATAATTTCATTTCCGAGTTCTTTCATAACCTCTCTTCCACTTATGAGATCTGCGACTGATACGTCTTCCGTTTGATTTGTAATCACTTGTCATCATAATGCCATGTTCTTAACAAAACGCTTCCGTGACAGTATATCACCATTACTTCTAAGGAAAGCGATGTTACATCAACGCAAATTAATATTTGGAGACGGGTTAAACTCATAATTTCCTTTCTCCTTTAAAATGAGTGAAAACGCCTCTGGATCATAAATTGTGACGTAGGCTACTAACGCCACTACACGTGTTCATTCTGTTTGGCGGAAGTTGGTGAATGACAGTGGAGGACATGACGTCTAATGAAACAGAATAATGCGACATTATGTATTTTGTTAAGTAAATAATCATCTAAGGAATTTATTACCGCTGATTGATTTATTACAGCTCATTTCAGCTCGTCCAGACAGCCAATGATAAGAGCATGTATAAATGTCGGTCACGATCACCTGTTTAATAAAACAGCAGCCACGGATATTCGAATTTGGGAACCACTTTCCGGCTTTCCGTGAAAATTAAGAATGACATCTACAAAGCCACCTCAGGAACGTGTCGACCAGAAATTCAACTTACAATTTGGATCACAGATCATAATAATGATTATATTTCTTCAGGCTCGGTCAAGTGAAGGAGTTTCACCGAAAGAGGCGTCACGGTTGAGTAAGTGGATAGCAGTTTATGTACAGAACAAAATAGTTTTCCATTTTCGGTTGCAACGGAGTTATGACTCGTTTATTGCTGCCGTGAACAGAAGACTTTACACTACCTTGCATATGTATATGATAGTTCAATTTTAATCAGCAGGGTAGCGAATGCTTGCTTAAAATGATATTAAAAAAGTAAGAAAATTTTGTCAAGAAATGTTTTTGGAGCCTAAATCCATGGCTATTTTTAAGCATTTATGACTGATTACCTGTGAATTACAAAGGTACCTAAAAAAAAACTGATCGTGATCTCCATATGAATTCATGATTGCTTTTCTTTCTTTGCGGCAAAAAGCTGCTTAAAAACCTGAATACACAATTATTATTCAACTGCATCCTTTTTTTTACATTTTCAGCTAAGACCCTCTCCTACAAAGTAAATCTACTTCTAGCGTTCTCATAATTACAAAGATTAATTTTTCCTCCTTTTTGGCAAAAACCAATCTTTAATTTTCAGATCAAATCTCAATCCAATCAGTCGAAACTTAGAGAGTTGCACTTTAAAACTTTATCGCACGAAAAAAGAAAACACATCTTCCTAACTTTGAACAAGCATACTAATTAAGGTAAAAGCTATCAACCTCCTGCAGGTCCTAATGTTGAAGAATCAGTCAACTTTTGTTTACATTGGCAATATTCACAGCAATGAAATTTCACTAAACGTAAAAGTCACGGGGATTACATGAAATATGAAAAGTATTCCCCAACAAGGAAGCCATCCATTAAAAGAAAAACGAAAATGTACATGATCTAACGCTTAACACAGATGATACCAATCGCGTCGTCATGGAAAAAAGGCTAAAAGCAAAAAAATGGGAAATGATAACATTACGCAAACAAAAAACCTTCATGTGATCATGTTACGTACTTCAACAAAAACTCAAAAATCCATTTTTTTTCTAAAATTGTTGATTTGAGTTGATCTACGAACAAACCCCTTCCCTTATTTGGAATTTGAATGAACGGTCATATCGACTGTAAAGGGATTATGATGCATGTAATTAGATTTGCCAAATAAATTTCTTTTCGGCTTTTTTTCATTTTTTCCTGTTTGCTTTAACCTTAATTACAAACCCTTCATCTCGACTGTTACAACATCATCTATCTCAGAATAGTCGTCCCTAAGGTTGAAATCATTCAGATATTATAGTTTTGTGTTTTAAATATCCAGACGCTGGCTGTTATAGGTTGCTGCCACTCTCGTAAAATAATAAAACTTTAAAGAATCAATTTTAATTAACATAAATTTAATAAACGTTTAAAGATTTTCATTAGAACCCTCTGGCCAAAAAAAAAGAGTTGCGCTGGCTAGTTTCTTAATTGTGATCAACTTTTTGGCGTTCTAGCAACCTCGAGCGCTTTTTGCCTTTTTGTGCGATTTTTTGGCAACTTTTAGGTTTGATTAGAGCACAAATCAACCTCGATAATGTCAATGATTTCATAAAGACACTTAAATTTATGAAAATCTCTTGAATGTTTCGCAGGCCCATAATCTAATCAGTTAGGGCGGATAATCGGCTTTACGACGCACAAAAATCGATGTCTTTTTTTATTATTTTCAAAATAATGAACAGAAATGGATGGTTAGAAGCTGCCTTTGTTTGCTAGCAACTCTTTAAAGTTAAGTTATCATTCCGAAGAACGAAAGGTATAGCTTTTAGTACACGTTTATATAGAAATATCAAGAAATTTAGGAGGCAACTTTTGAAATTTAGGTGGCAACTTTTGAAATTTAGGAGGCAACTTTTTGGATTACTGGTTATTGTTTAACAACTTTTTGGCATTCCTGTGTGCAATTTTCAAGCATTATACGAGTACAGTCGGGACAGACCTATTTCTTGGACCCCTCTCTCCCTCCTACCTTGATGACAAGTTGACCACCTTGAGTTTTGAATTATTTAAAATTACAAGCACGCACGAGATTATTCGAGAAGTCTAAATCAGTGTATCCGTTTAAACGTGTAAAATGAAAGACTTAAGAGCAAAACCATTTTCTATTTAAATCCCTGGTTTTTTTTTGTTTGTTTTATTAGATGGATCCATAGTGGACCACTTTGAACGCGTTGGTTGCTTCAAGGATAAGCCTGAACCAAAACGCGCTTTGCCCGAACCTCTGCGCATTAATAAATTTGTAAATTGGACAGACATGAATAACTCATATTCAGAGATCATTCGCGCGTGCGCTGTCGATGTTTCTAAAGCCGGATTCCGATATTTTGGTATTCAAAATGAGAGGGAATGCTGGAGCGGCGTGAATGGGAGCGTCACTTACAACAAGTATGGAAGAAACAACAATTGTGATTTACTCAACGGAATAGGAAAATCTTGGTCAAACTTCGTCTATCGCTTTGTGGAAGGTTAGTGTGACGTAACAACTTCTATTTCAAGGGTGATATTGTAAGGAGAAATTATAAGTTAGTCACTCTTATGGTTTAAAGGGTTAAGATCCCGATTAGTTTATATTTAATGGCGTTCAAGCACAAATGCTGCAATCTGATTGGTTATGTTACATGCTACCTATTCCATGATGCATAGTGAGCAGAGTGCGTGACCTAACAGTGCGTGATTTTAAGCGAACAGTAAAAAATAAATGACTGGAAAACACGTGGCTGTCATGTTGTTAAGCTATGAACGCTTTCGACTCCATGCGTGATAGCTGATTTGAGCTTTAGCCTCAACAACCATCACGCGAAATAAAACTTTCTAAGATAATAATTTAGTTGTTAATTTAAAAAGATTAAGTGAATAAATGAAGAGATAAATGAATAGACGAATGAATAATTAATTATTATTTTTTAATAATAAATAATTATATAATATAATATAATAATAATAATAATAATATAATAATAATAATAATAATATAAATAAATAAAAACTTACCAGAAATCAATACTAGCCAGGTACAACCGCTTATAATAGTTTAATAATAATTTTTTATTAATTAATTATTATAATTTATAATTAATTAATTTATAATTTTATTTTTTAAATTTTAATAATTTTAATAATGAATAAAGGTAAAGATATCTGTCGACTACTGATCACTCTAACTTTCAACAGGACTTTGAGAAAAGTGTAGTAAATATGGGAAAAAGACCAGCAGCTGTTTGACAGGAAAAATTATTTGAATCTAGTATCAAGAAATACACGATATTTTTCGAAAACAAGTTGCGCTTAATTGTGTAGTGATTTAAAGTACTTTCCCAAATTTGGCTCTCAGTAAATGGTAGCTGGAGTCATTGGTCACCATGGCAACCATGTAATTCAACTTGTGGCGGGGGATACAGATCACGTGTTCGAACATGCACCAATCCGAGGCCCAAATGGAACGGACTGGATTGCAACGGAAGAAGTATTTCTAACGGAAGCTGTAATGTGCACAGTTGTGCAGGTATGAATTTCTTTATTACTTTATTTCATATTTCCTAGTTTTGGTCCCAAGTTCAAGCCCTCCAACTTGCTACTCCCTGGATTCCTACCCAGTTTCCCCCAGTTCAACTTCTTGATAGCCAACAGGTCTGCCTTCTGACCGTTGGAATTTTTAAAAATTCCCAACTGTTTAAAAACACTCTGCATTTTCAATTTGTCTATATTGACCCTAAAAAGCCTTATTGGGGAAGTGGTCAATTGATATTATTATTATATGTACATATTAAAGGGAAGAACTTACCGGCTTTGTATTCTTGTTTCGTTTTCAGACTATGAAAAGAGTGAGACTCATAGTGAACCCTTCTCTAAGAGATCATCTCTGCCACTTGTTGGCCTGTGGTTGGGAATTTCACTTGTGGTTCTTCTGTGCTTAAGTGGAATATTATGGATCACTTTGAGATTTTCCAGAAAACGTTGGTAAGTAAATTTTCCATTATTCTTCCAACTAGTCTCGAATTTATTAAACAAATCAAGTTGCAGAAACTTTTGTCCGAAAGTTATCAAAACGTTTTTTTAAGCAAGGTGAAATAGATAGTAATGAGGGTATAAAAACAAGTCTATAGAGACAAAGTCAATTATGTTGGGTTTTTTTTGCTGCAAAAGTTTATGCAAGATTTTACGGTACATGTTTGCTGAACGGCAGAACGTGCTTTGAATTAAACACAAGCACATATTTTATCATTTTGATCAAGTTGCCACGGCAACGGTCTAACTTGTCAGAGGCGCCCTTAAATTTTGGGGGATTTAGTCTATTGTTGGGACGTTAGGGGGAACATAGCTTGAGCAATTTCGCTGAGCAAAGATTACCAAGAGTCTTCGATAACAAAGACAGAATTTCTCCTTACTTAATCAATACAATATCAAACAGACAAGTGATGAGAATTAAGAAAAATATCAGTTAATGGATATTAGTTGATTCAAGACCAAATTCTCAGAAGTACCATCATAAGAACTGTATGGCAGACAGTAAGGAGAATAACTAATGAGATCTTGGGAGGGAAAGGATTAGTTTACCACTCCCGCGCTGTCTCAACGTTTACAGTAATCTCACAATACCTTATGAGATTTCACGCACATTTTAAGGTCCAACTCAGAGCTCGTGGATCCATTTGAAATTGTTTTTGACGACATTTCTCTGTGTAATCTGATTGGAGAAGGAGCCTTTGGAAAAGTGTTCAGCGCTGAGTTGAATAAACAGATGGAAACAGGAAAAGAAGGAAAATCATCTGTAGCTAAGACGAACAAGCAAAAACTTCCAAAGCAGAAATACCGGATTGTTGCAGTCAAAATGCTACGAGGTAAGAAGCTTGGATTGGAGTTAGTAGAGGTAGTAGAGTAGTTTGTAGTCTACCAACTCTGCTTTGATTCAATTCGTTACTTCCTAACCCAGGGGTCTGGGTAACGTTTTCCATAAGCGGTTGCCAATGGTGTAATGGCTGGCTATGCCGTAATGGCGAAACCCAAACACGAGGGCCTGATCGCAGGCTCAACAAACGGCGGTGAGAAGTCTTATAGGCGGCGGTAGATGAGTGGTAACCGCCTTTTATTGAAACGATGGATGTTTCTTAAATTTGTTCCAAGACGGTGGGAGAACTTTGGAAAAAATTCCCAAATTTTTTTACTTAGGTGGTGCAACAGAGGAACAGAAAGAAGAATTTTTGGAGGAGATAAAACTCATGAAACTGATCGGATATCACCGTCATGTACTGAATTTATTGGCCTGCTGTACGAACACTGTTCCAATGTTTCTGGTGACTGAATTTGCTAAATACGGCGATTTACTCAACTTTCTCCGGAAACGGAGGGAGCAGGTGAGAGAGAGATGCTTTTGAACCCATTCCCTTAGAGAATTTCTTCATGGCTATAAAAAATTAGCACATATCCTAACCGAACTCATTATTATTGACCACAAAAAAATACCTCACTACTGAATAAAGCAAATGGAGTTAAATTAGTACAGTGTTACACACATTAAGAAAATCACTTAACTTAGGACAGGAAAATGTTTCTAGTTTTCCATTTGTAACCTGTGTTAATCTTGAGGCGTATTTATGAGCAATGTCTGGTGGCCTAACGCCTAAGGTAAACGAAAGACGAAAAACAAAAAGACAAAGAAAACGAAAAAAAATGTTACTGGCAAGGATCTAATTAAAAACGCGTATATTATGCTATTTTTTATCTTGTTTGCACGCATTGCGTGCCATTAAATTAGTGACGCGAGAGTCATGTGATTTCGCGCGACCTCGTGGTTAAGAAAAAATGATAAATGGTTGAGTTGTGAAATACAATACATCTTTGTGGTGTAAGCGTTTTATACGAAAGAAACTGTCTTTTCAGATCAAACAAGCAATTGAGGAAATGGAAGCAGCGAAACTGTACCAGTCACGATGCTGTAACTTAGGACTAAGTACCAGTGAAGCAAACCTATATGACGTATGTGGTCTTGCATTCTAAATTCTCTCTACGTTATCATTGACTCCTATCGTAACGTAATATAAGGCGCCTCTCAATCACCCCCCACCAGTCAAGACCTGCAGGCTTCTGATGACCCTCCCCCCCTAGCCCGTCTTTCCTACGCAAAAGCTTCATAGTACCAGTTTTACCCTAATTTGGGTAAATGATACCTTTTTATATAAACTGAAGCTTCTGACTCTCATTTCCCGCAGGAGATCGTAGGTTTCAACTTAAGAAATACAAACTGTATTTGGCGTTCATTGAATAACTTCGAAGAAAATTCAGAACAAATATAATACATCACAGTTTAATCCTCAGCAGTTTCCTGTAACTCTTCCTCCTCTGATAAGCGTCTGCTCTCCAGTAAGCGCCCCTCTCCAAGAAAAACGCCTTCCCCCCACCTTCTGTACAAAAAGTTTTCTGGCTGAACACCCTCAAATTATTAAAACCCTTTGCGGATGAGGGGGCTGGGGGTGGAGAGAAGAGAGAAAGAAGATAGACCCTGGGTAGGAGATTGCTCAGGGAAGCATATTAGAGCAAGCTGTTATAATTTCCATGGCTGTCTTCCAATATCAGAACTTGAAAGTAATTTGTTTCTTTTTCAGTCTACTGACGATATAGATAAATATACTACTGGTCTTGGGAGCTTTTGCAACAAAAATGGATACGGAAGTAATTTGAAGACAGATCCTAACATATTATATGAAGATGACACTCTCAGACCCGCTGATCTTTTGGCGTTTGCATGGCAAATAGCGCAGGCAATGGTACGAGATTGGTTGTGTGAATTGAATATTTACAGTGAAACCATTAGACACTCCAAATTAGTATGTATTTTCAAAATATCGCTTATATTTAAAATTCTCCTCAACAATATTTAGTTTGTTCAGCTCTGCATAAAATAGTTTTGATTTCAGAGCTACCACAGAATGCTTTTTGAGGTTTGTATGTCTGTTTTTGTTTTTTCTGTTGTCGTCGTTGTTGTTGTTTTAAATGTGGGATAAACTATGCCTCTTATGACGTAAGCTATTGTTCCTTTTGCATGAAAGATTGCCATCAACACCTTCGTACTTAACTTAAAAATCCGCTCTTCTGTTCCAGGAGTTTTTGTCGCGCAAAGGATTTGTCCATCGTGACTTAGCAGCTAGAAATGTTTTGGTTAGTGAAGGCAAGATGATGAAGGTAGCAGACTTCGGACTGTCACGTGATGTGTACACAGAGAAAGTTTACCACTCCACTAAAACTAAAAAGCTGCCAATCAAATGGATGTCACCGGAGGCCATTCATGATCAGGTTTTCACGACAGAAAGCGACGTGTAAGTTTAAAGTCACGTGATCAGAGTCCAACTCTTTCCTAGTCAGTCTCCTTCCCCTCCCTCATTGCGTGACGCCAAGGGTGTGAAAAAGAGAGAGCCTGGTAACTAGGTTGGTTGCTAAGGAAACATATCATTGAGAGTAGCTACTGCTGTAGTTGTTACTCATGCATATCACGTAAATTTGTTTAAAGCATGCCTTTCATACTACCCAAAAATTGTACAAACAATTCAGCGAAGTATTGTAAAAGTAATCAGTCGCTCTGACGGAGGGCTTATGCTCGAAACATCAGCTTGAAAACTCTTTACAGTAGACAATTTACGTTATCAACTCAGTTGATAATACCAAATTACCTTGTTATACTCTCCCACCGACGTAGCACCACAGTTTCTTTAGAAACTTAACCTCTTTATTGTTAAAGTAAGTTTTGTGGATGTTGAAGAGAATTGAACACAAACTTGGATTGGACTGATCATTAAGATAACATTAGAAATAAAAAGAAGTGACCGTGACAATTAACTTGAATATTTCGTAATGAAACGAAAGAGGTGACGAATATGTAACTGCACTAAGTGCTTTCAATTATTATGTTATTATGTTATTTATTATTAAGGCCAAGATCCGATTATTATTATGAATATTATTATATCCTTGGTTGCGTGCTCTGATTAATATTAATATCGGATTAATATTTATTAACAGATGGTCATTTGGCATCCTACTCTGGGAGATGGCCACAATTGGTGCGTAACACTTCTAGACGTTTTCTTGAGCTAACAATAATTGTTAATAGAGATATTCCGTGCGGCACTAGACGTGTTTTTTTTTACAGAAATATCTGTTTAGTACATACATGAGTGACGAGTTGGCCTAGTGGCTAACGTGTTGGACTCTGGATGGAGAGGTCTGGGTTCAAATCGTGACCTGGTCACTGAGTTGTGTTTTTGACGATACACACTTCTCTCACCAGGCCTCGTTCCACTCAGGAATATAAATGGGTAGTTGTAAAGTCAAGTAAGACCTTCGAGAAACGATTGGCGAGAGGAAAGTGGAATTTCTACTGTTGTACCCGTATTCCATCCAGGGGGAGCACGGGGGGAAATCCAAGGGGTTTATCAGAGGTGAAAATAATGAAATGACGAACAAATGTTTCTACAAGCTAAACGGTGCTATTATCTGTCAGTTTATTTAATTTTATCACCTGTTGTTCTTCCAAGTATTTATCTTCCCTGACTTTCTTCATTTTTTATTTGATAATGACGTTATAATGTAACTTCAAAAGGTTGTCTATTTTGAACTCACGCCTCTTATTTGAGTTAAGTTTGAAACTTATTAATTTTATTGTTTGTTATGCTTCTCCCTATTCAATTTAAACTCATAGAGCGCATAGCGGAGGTTTAGCTCTGTTTGCCGGAAATAAGGGATGAAAATGAGATCAAGGTTTTGCCATATTTCGACCACAATCGTGGCCGTTTATTTGCTAACAACTCAACTGAATTATTCGTGAATTATTTCCAGTAAAGATGAGGGCAAACCCGCCTCGTGAACTCAATGATACCCTACATGAATGAACTGCCTTGGGAGGGAAAAGAACGGGGGAAACGTTTTCGAACTGAAGCTGGAGAAAAAGAGGCCCGAAACCTGGCCTGCATGGATTTAAGTACTCATAACAAAGAGTCCCAGATGTAAACTGACCCTAACTAGTAAAACATTAACTGTCGTAGCCAGCTGCATAAAATCATTTATACCCTATAGGAATAAATTTTCTTTATGTATATATATCCAGGTGGTACTCCTTACCCCACCATCAGCAATCAGAGAATTCTTAAAGCTTTGAATTCCGGATACAGGATGGAAAAACCACAGATCTGTTCTGATGAAATGTAAGATTCCTGTACAGCTTTTGTATAATAATTCATTAACAATTCCAAAAATGACACCGATCAATCTTGAAATTGCAGGTACGAACTAATGCGACAATGTTGGCGAGAAAAGCCCTCGGAGAGGCCATCGTTCCCCTTTATTCGGGAACAACTTGAACGAATGATGTTGAGCCGATCTCCTTATTTGGAATTAACTGACGTAAGCTACACTCACGTGGCTTATTCTGAAACTGATAGTGACGAAGATACGATACAGGAAAACACCGCCTTGTAAATTGATGCTGTAAACATCCATATTTGGATCGATGGATCATATGATTTTGTAAGCAGTTTTGATACTGCAATTCGACATAGGACGTCAATCACCCTCAAAAAAGACTGGAGAGAATCTGAGAGAGTTTGTAAAAACAAAATTCCCGGACAACTCTACGGGAAGAATTGACTATAAAACGAGACTGTGACGCCAACAGCTGTAAAATGCTACAAGTATTTTGTCTTGCAAGACCTTTTCTTTTTCGAAAAATCAAGTTTCTCACGAGAAACCACCCTCCTCCTTAAAATTATATCTCACAGATAAGAGGATATTTCACGCCATGAAATTTCTCACCCAAGTCGTTTAAGTGACAATCGATAGTCTAAGCGGGATAGCAGTGGAAAAGAGGGAAATAAATTATTAAGTTAACAAATTTAGGCGAGCTCTAGAATTATTGTTAAAAAAATACTGTGATTCTCGAAGAAACGAAGCTTTTACACCAGTAACATTAGCAGGAGACACATACACGCAGTAGGTACCTATTTATTTTATTTCTCAACAACTACTTCAAATGGTTATGTCTGACCCGGACATAACACCTTGAAAATGGAGAACCAGCGGCAATGTAAACAGGTTGCTGTATTTATCATTCTCAGTTTCGCCTATGCCTATATTAAGCGTCCTAGATCCTGTTGTTAGTTATTGATGAGGGTTTACCTGGTTGTAATAAAAGCCGATGTTCTAGCTTTAGATCAGAGGAACCAACAAAAGTTATGGGCTGTCTACGTTTATTAGGTTTGGTTGGTTTTATCATCTTTCAGAATGTCAACAGTAAGTAAATATTAAGCTTTTCGCGTAAAGTGCTCATTTCGGACAATAGAAAAAAGCTAGTTATTTTCAGATGATTTGAAATCGATTTTTCAAGAATTCTTAGTTCGTGATAAAATTGCTATTCATTGGGCTTAAGAAAATTTAAAAGAAAGAGAAAATGTAATAATTCCAGATTTTTTAGGTGCCGTTAAATATTACAAATAATCGATCAAACTGCCAAAAATTCCCATTTGAATCGGATGGAAAATCTCACAAAAATAACGTTACATTTTTTCAGTGTAAGCCGGTATTTCAATGTGCCTTTTCCAATGGTAGTATCGAAGCTTATAAAACTGACCACTTTAATTTTTTTTCAAGTTCTAATTTAACAGGGTAACATCTAACTATATTTTATACTCATTTAAAAAATAACTAAGATATTACGTCCGCTCTGATTGGCCTAAAAGCCATCTTTCACTTTTTGGCTAACCCATAGAAAACTAAAGCATGTGCTGTTATCATCCACGTACATCCAGACCACGCTTAATAACGCCCTTTTTCTAAGCAAAGTTAGTAAAAATCCCAATTCGAAATCCGAGTATCCATGGCATGAAAAGTCAAATCAAAAGGGGCAGGCCTTATTTGGAACTACTCAGACATATCAAATGAGCTTTCCACCCTATTGTTTAATTATACACCCGATTGGTCTACGCATGTCATGTGATGCCTAAGATCTAACTCTTCAAAACAGCGGTGTGTCTTTAAAGGAAAAAGTTTTTATCCGATCCGGCAGCCAATATATTCCTCGATTGCTATTCAATGATCATGAATATTGAGGCTTTGTTTTTCAGGGGGTTGGCGATAGAAATAAAATTTTTTTTTTCGTACTGCATATAAAGGAGATTCTGAAATTAGTCAACAATGTCATCAATTTAAACACGGTTTTTTTCGTTTTGTTATGCGAGCTGCTAATTTCTGGTGCGTTCAAATTAAGTACTCACATACCACCACTTGGTCGTGGTAGGTCTGGGTACGTGACTAGAAAGTTACCATCATCACCAGTCCATCGCCGCTTTTATGCACCCGAAATTTAAAACTATTATGGGTTATTCAAAAGCGGAAAACTTAGAGGCCAGGGCGTGGTGGTGAGTTTTATTACACAGGGGGGTACACATGGGGGTACACATGGGGGAATCTGCTCAGATACAACTGACTTCACCTTACTTGATCTTTCATGCACCCGCAATACATCAGTGTCAAGTCAAAGCAGATTTTTTCAAGTTAAGAATGGATGTGCCAATTTAAAGGTGATTGATGGATTACTAAATGTTGATCCTGCGATACCGCAACCTTCTTGGTTCCAGACTCCATCGGTTGTAGAAATTCAAGCAGGTCAGTCTAAAACAATTTGTTGGTGACACTAACAATACAAATGATATTTGTATGGTATGTGTTGTCGGCAAAGTGAGTAATATTAGGTACCGCAATCTTGGATGAGCGTTAAGGGACTTTTCTGCCAAAGCAAGTGCATTTTACTCTGCAGAGGCGTCCCAAAGACTCTTACTAGGATTGCAGTTCTAATAAATTCGTTCTGACGAAGGGCTAACGCTGGAAACGTCAGCTTTGAAACTCTTTACGGTGGCCAATTTACGTTATCTACTCAGTTGATAATGCTAATTTACCCTGCTATACTCTCCCACCGACGCAGCACCACAGTTTCTTTAGAAACCTTCCCCCTTAATTCAGTTTTTATAAATGTTTGCATAACCCATGCAATTTCTTTTCCGCCAGCACAGCATGCTCTATTCAGTGCCTCAAAGTTGGCCCTCTTCTCTGATTCTATTTCAACGGTTTTGCGACTTAGAAAGGCCTTTTAATATGTTCGTGTAGTTTGATTGGTGAAGCGAAGGCAACCACCATCTTTGAGTGCACGTGAAGATCAGTATCTGTTCACTAATTTCCAACATAATTGTTGGTACATACGGCAAGTAATAACGAATAAACAGCAAACATTTCGAATTGGGTACGAAAATCTTCGATTCCCAAAATGGTCGCCATGTTGTGACGTCACGCGGTTATCAAATATGCTAACTATTTCGAACTGGTAACGCTGAAAAGGGCTGTCGTCGATAACATAACTTGTCCATGACAGTCACGCAATCTAATCAAACATGACCCGACGGATAAGCCATCTCGAGCCTGCAACTGATCCTAATTAGACGCCTGTACTAGACTGATTAGTCGGCATATAGAATAAGAACAGCAGAGTTAGCTCTTCTTTTTTTTTTTTTAATAACACTACAGCAGTTACTAACTTCATACTACATTCTCTCTTTTTTAGGTCACTACCGAGCCCTCGGCCGAGTTATTCATCTAAAATACTTGAAGGAGCAGCTGGAAGGGAAACAAGGTCTAAACTTCAGTAATCTGAGAAAAACAATGAATCTTGTTCGGCAGCTGGATATTCTTGCAGATACAGTTTACATCGAGGTAATTAGAACTTACCACCAAATACTTTAGTGGGGTTTTGCTCAGTTTTGTTCTTCGGAGCGTGGGCTCATTTCCCGGCCAGCGGCTGGTTATTGAGCCTCCACTCTGATAGGTAAAAACTATTATAAATGGGTCTCAAGGAAAAATAATAAAACAATGAAAACGGATTATGAGGGCGGGGTGGCTTTGACAGTTGACGGTTTATTTTATAACATCCCGTAACAATATGAGTCAGTTTCATGTGAAGATCTGACGCTTTTTTTTATTCTTACAGGGTGCTATTTCCCTTCATGGAGTCAAAACTGTTCAAATATTTGCAAGAGAGATAATTTCTTCCCGTGGAAGTAAGGTAGATTTCTCTGCACCAAATTGGAACCAGATGTTTAAAGAATCAATTAGGCCTGGAAAAGATGGAGAAAGTGGGGAACCTGGTATCACTGGGCCACAGGGTACGTAATTTAAAGCGTTTACTTACTGGCCTGCATAGCAACTGCTCGACGAGGGTGCGAGTAGCTCGCGCGCGACTGAGAGGTAGCAGACTCCCCTGCCCTTCGCGCGCGGGACTTCTCGCGCGCGAACACCACCTTGAATCACCCTTACTTGCATCGAGCCCTCGCTACGAGAGCTAAATCAGCCCAGATATTGGACACAGGTGAAGAGGCCCTCAAACTCCAATCCTTTTCCATTTCATTCATTCATTTTTTAGTTTTATTTCTCATTCATTGACAAAACAGTCTTCTTTTTACGTAGTCCACATACACTGTGACCACATCTTTGGGAACCTGGAGGTGATTTCGAGCGGCGGAAATGGACACCGGGGACAAGATGGTGGCGATGGAGCTGCAGCGAGAGATAGCAAAGATGTGGTAAGCATAAGCGACAACAGCAAGCACCTTGCATCATTAGTTTGACAGAGTCCACTTTACTATGTTTATGATGCGCAGCCGCGTGAGTCCGCAGGAAATTTTGACCACTTTGGTGACGAATATCGTTGTTGCTAAGAATAAAGACCAAACCACTATCGACTCGTTTTTTACCACAATATCGACGTCAAAATACTTTATCTCTCAGTACGTGACACGTTGCGTGACACGTTGATGCGGACAGCGTTGTCTGTCCTCTTATCAAGAATAGCAAATTGGCCAATCAGATAACGACATTACAGCAACTTGCGGTAAAAACAATGACAGGTCACAGCTGACGTCAAAAGGTGTAAGAACATAAAAGTTACACGCGAGGTGCAGCTGAATGGATCACTGATGTTGTTACCATATAGTCATCTAGTGATGTTTTCTAAACGCTCAAAGGGCAACACAGCATAAATTCATTTTATATCATTTCAGTTATTAATGCCTAAAATTCGACCTTTCTTAACAATTTTCTAGCGACCAGATGTTTCTGCGAGTGTTTGCGCTGGTCGCAGTTTTAAGTGCTATCGTCGTAGGCACAATGGACCACCCGGCATCCGAGGAAAACGTGGACAAAAAGGAGGGAATGCTGGGATACCTGGTGAGGCAACGAATGAATCATTTCTTGATATATATTGGTGTCCAGACTTCTCCTGACAGGTGTCACTGTCCCAGTTCTGCTTGGCTAGAAGCAGTACGTACGGTTTACGTTGAGTCACACCAAGAGACAGTAGTTGCAAACATACATGATAAATCAGGAAATGGAATCGGTTTTCGTATGATAGGGAAAAGTAAAGTTAGAATTTTGTGTTAGACAAATAACTAGGGTTGGGCCTTTATGAATAATGCAAAGCTCGGTATAATCGATAATTCTCGCTATCATGCTCAATTTCATCCAATAAAATTTATAGTTTTAAGTCTGTTTACAAATTTTGAAACTAAACTTCTCTGATATATGAAATTTTGTAAATTTTGACCTTTGAAAAAGTGTGTACAAATAAAATTGTGCAAGAGTTTATTATCTCTTGCATTTTGTAGAAATGTCGCGTGAAACTACAGACAACCAACGCACAAGCAGCTCATTATGCAATTGAAAACCATGTTATCATGTAACCGCCTACGCATGTGTGACAGGGCTATTCTCGGCTATCCTTACAATCATACGAAATAGGACGTGGACTTTATTTTTCGTCCTAGTCCCCCACATCCCATGTAAGAGTGATGAGAAGGTTTGCGTTAGGCAACGATGTACTCGAACCTACCGTCCATAGACTAGACTTTGTTTAAACACTACTCCAAACATTGACTAAATAAGTTAACATTTTTTTTTAGGAAGTGGAGGACATAACGGACGTGTATTCATCCACTCTGGAAGGTTAAACGGCCAAGTTACTATTCATTCATGCATAGGTCGTGGGGCTCAGCCGGCCAAGAACGGGGTCGGTGGAAAAGGTGAAAGGTTCACTATGATCATTGGACAAAAGGACTAATGAACAGCCAATGAACAAGGGGTTAAAATATCGACGTGCACGTGAATACGCAGGGGTTCAAAAGAATATTATATAACATTGTAAACGTGCTTTTTCTTTAGGTTTCCTTTAATTTATGAATTCGCTTTCATTAAGCTTGAAACGCTTTTGTCGTAGTTATGGTAAGCTAGTTCGTTCCCTTTTCCTTATTTCTCGTCAAGTTGCAATTAAAGGTTAGTCTTGTGAACAATAATGCAACTCCTTTCATAATAACATTATCTAGGTGACTACTGTGGCACCGAAAAAAAAAAAGCTAAATTTCCTGCCTTGAAATAAAGAATAGGCAGTGTGAGCTCGGTATGGTGGGAATTTGTCTGAGAAAGGAGAAGCGAGGTTAGATTTCAGCGACTGAGTACTCTAAAAGTTTTTTGCTTTGCATAGTCCTTAACAGTTACTTTGCTCGTGCAGACTTGGGCTTCTTGGGAGCAGTGACGTTATCGAGAGAGACTTAACCGAATCATTCCCAACTTCACCTAAAAAACAGGAAGAGAGGGTGCATGTAGGGGCTAAGAGGGCTATTGGTCACCCTATTGATTCATGTGACGTCGCAGTTTGCTAAATAGGATTATTGTTCTAGGTGGTGCTGGTGGTCTCGGAGGGAGAGGAAGGCAATGTGTATTTGTCAAGTACGTGTTCAAGTGTGCCACTGCAAGAATGATTGGAAGAGGTCCCCAGGGAAAACGTGGTCCAAAAGGAACATCGGGAAATAGTAAGTTTTACACAGACACTAGAACCTTAACTAATGGTAAATACTCGGCAAAGAGTAGATGTCTTCCAAAAAGATGTGTCCATTCTGTAAAGCTTAAGGTTATTGGCACAATCTTTATACAGTGGGACTTTCCTACTAGTGATACCCTTGAAACTACACAAGGTGTCCCTTTAAACGATTGTGTCCTATCAATGAAGGTAATAGATTCATAGGTTATATACTGGGGAACTTCTCTTTAGGGGACACTGTTGGAACTTTAAAAAGTGTCCCCTAAATCGAGAGATCCCTGTAGAGAAGGTAACATGTGCAAATGTTATAGAGTGGCAACTACATTTTAGGGGACACCCTTGAGACTAGGAGGAGTGTCCCTTGAATAGTCCACGTTTACAGTAATAACTATCCTTTGGCAAAGGAGAAATTTTCCGTTGCTCTCACGAAAGTACATTCACATAATAAAACATGCGTTCAACTTCAACATTTTAAAACCAAGAATATCAAGAAGAGTCTCGTATATTTGTTTCTGCACAAAAGGTGAAATTCTTTGTCGCGACGTTCTATCTAAAATCAATAATAGATTCTTCATTTACCAAGCTTGGTCGATAAAGATGACTCAATATCACCTCATGAAAACGTAATAATGAATCGTGGCTGTAACAGAAAAGGAGTGCAGTGCAGGTCAGTTGATATCCAGCCATCTTTACCAAACAAACTTGGCTGATTAAAAATATCAGAAGCTCGCATATTTCTGCGCATTTTGATTTCTTTTTTCCTTTCAGCGCCTTTAACTCCGGGTAGGGATGGTTCTTTCCAAGCACCACCCATCTATCGAAGCGGGGAACTGCAACCAAAAATAAAAATAAAGTATCCTCTGGATCTCCTTCATGTCATGCACAGACAAGCTGAGGACTTGTTACTAAGCAATAGTCACAGTCACAAAGGCAGAGCCGCTTTGAAATTCATACTGAGCCTGGCGAACGATAGAAGTGACGCGGAAGATATCAAAAAAGGTGAAAAGGTTAATTTATATGCACCAATGGGCACACGTGGGGCTAAGGATTCTCACACCTTTCCGACTGAGGGCTTAAAGGAGATAATTACCCTTCGTTTTAAACCTAACCATTGCGTAGTCTGACCAACCAATCAACTATTTGACATTTAATAGCCTCTCGATCATTCTGAGTATTGAATTTCTCTGTTGATGTAACACAACGTGTAAGTCACGAAAGCGTCAAGCTCTCCTGAATCTTGCTCAACTCTTACGTTTGCTCGATCGTTGGGTTGAATTTTTAACAATGTATACGCTAACGTATGAATTTCGCCCTCCCCCCCACACCTCAAAAAAAAAGGAAACGAAGTGGTTCTTGCATAGCTCGTTGGCACAAACAAACTTTGAGGCATTCTCAACAGCGTCTTGAGTTTTATTAATGAATTAATTTGATTTGTGACAATACACTTGAAAGCGGTTGTTAAGAAAGGCTTCATAATTATCAAAAATATCAGGATATTGAACATGCGCTTGCAGTAATTTCCCTATGGTGCCTATCAATATGTTGAATCAGCCAATATTAAAACAAGTAGAAGACAACTCTTAATCTTTACCACAGACGTCAGGAGAAAGCTGGGTTTCCTGGGCAAAAAAGGCTACGACATTTTTGGAAAGAACGTCCTGTTTGCCCCGCGTGTCAAGTGGGAAGCCCTCGAGGGATCAGTAGAGAATATCAGAAAGGCGGCTGAAATTTACGAAGAAGCGTTTAACGATATCACGTCTACTGAGCAGAAAAACCAAGATTTCAAAACGGTCAGCAGTGATATTAGCTAAGTTAAGAAATAAATAACACCTTGAAAGCAGCTTAAGATTTTAACTTACCGTTCAATTTTTGTAAAGAGCGTCGTGAAGGCGTATGACTTATTACCACGAGAATTGCCTTTCCTTTTTACATGCAATCCACTCCCCGACAAATTTCCAGGTGGACTGATTGTCGAAATAAGAGTTGATTCAGTAAGCGACCGCTAATATTTGTCATCCAATCAGTATAGAACTAAATCTTTAGAATTAACTTTCGAGAAGGCTACGGCCCCTAGAATATCGATCGTTTTTAAAACTGATAAAGCTTAAAGAAAAAGTAGGCTCCTTATGCCACGTAGCTATTATCTCCGACATTAAATAGTACATTTATGAACATTTATTGCTTACCGTATTTTGAGATTCTAAAAAATAATCTAACCGTTGGAAACTTGTCTTCAACTCCAAGATGGCTGCTAAAATGTCATCAGTGTCAGAGTTACAAGTCAAGGCAGAAGCTGATAGGCTCAACGGAGCCCGAGATAGCGCCATGTCTGAAAAGAGGACGTATGTCAAGGTATTCATGCATATACCTTTTTCAATGTTAACTAAAGGATAATTTGTCTTACTTTTGCTTAAGTTTTATGCAGATACTTTCCCAATGAATTGGATGGTTGAAACATTCACCAATCACAATTGGTGAAAACCAAAAAATCATTGCGATGCATTTTGATTCGTTAAGTGTCGGGTTATCTATAGATTAAAACAAAAGCCGTCAATCGTCAGGGCATTTCTTCAATCTCGTACCCAGATCCTAACGTTTAGCTGTAACTGATGTGTACGACAACAACCGCTTGGCTGTGGAAGGCTTGGGAACGAGACTAGTATTTGATAAGTGTCCGGCTGTTGATTCTCAACTCAAAAGTGAAGCTTCTCAACGGTTACATCCGGTTGAAATGAGAAGCTCGGGTTTGTTGAGTGGACAGAAATGCCATATGGCCATGGAGTGAAAAATCAGAAACAGAAATTAAATATGCGCGTTTGAATTAGCAGCAAACGAGGTGCAAAATCTTGAAAGAAAGCAGGAAAGAGATTGAAATGAATAAATGGGAATGGAAAGAGGTCGAACAAACATACAAAGAGAAATCGAAACAGAAATAAGAAAGTTAAGACAGAAGAAAAATGGAATATTGGAAAAAGTGATTAGAAGGGAGGAAAGAGGAAATATATAAGTAAATGTATTGCATGAAAATATAATGAAAATCCTTTTCTCAATCTCTAATGACTTATCGTTAATATTCCTCTGCAGTCAATTCAGCAACTAGAGGAACAACTAGCCAGTTTACTTCTTGAACTAAAACAAATGTTGCCTAATGTTTATGACCAAGCAAAATTCAATCCCGATGACTTGTTAGCGATACTTCAGGGTATCACTGGGTTTGTTGGAGCAATTAAAGGTAAGGACCCTTTGGATTTTATCGACACAGCTCTTGGCCTGGCTGGATCACAGTCCGGAAAGCAGTGTCTTGGTTCTCTTGAAAGCAACCTGGGAAGTATAAAGAAATGGTTGACCTTTGGGAAGGTTTACACTCCCCTTGTTGATTCTAGCGACTTAGACTTCGACAAACTCGATGTTGCTTCTGTGCCTGAAATAATGCAGGTACGGAATCTCTTTGTGATCTTGATTAGAAATGCAATGAGCCCACCATTTTATGCAATCGTTTATACTTGCAAAGGTTCAAACCAAAGACAAAGAAACCAGTTCCTATGTTCATCCTTTTTTTTTTCCGAAAAGAAATTTTTTCTCCACGCTGCTTCAAATAGACAACAAAGACAATTAATCTTATACCCCTTCTTTGTCAATGGCTGCTTCACGCATCGGTAAGCACCGGCGTCAACTTAGCAATGATCCACCTAGTTCGTCAATAGCTCTTAACTTTTTTCTTCTTTTTTTTCCTTGCTTGAAGGCCAATCTTGAGATGAACAAGGAAAAACTCGCAGCCGAATTAGTTTGCCTCTTAGATGTGGCCTCCAGACCTCAAGACATTGCTGGGTTCAAACAAGTTATGGAGTCATTTTTCATCGCTGGAACAACACGCATTGATCTGATAGGAAAAGTTATGGACCTCGATAACGAAATCGGGGGGTACAGCTTTGATATCCCTATCCTAGTAGAAACACAGAAGGCCATAACTGATATTGGTAAAGCGAAAGGTAAAAACTAGTCATATATGGCTAACCCAATAGTTTCCAAGTGTGATTCCTAATTGATAAGTACCTTATAAAGATATACAGTGCAGGGTTTAGCACAGCCTATATGACCTCTCGTCGTAGTCTGTTTAGCGTGCAAGCAGGCTCTGGTGTTTGGGTTACCCCTTTCGGCTCCTTTTCCAGACACAGCCATCTATTGCGCCAGTGGCAGCCGTTAATGGTAAAAGTTACTTTTATGGAAAAAAAACCTGTATATTAATTGCGAAGCACACCGAATATGGGAATGTGGAAAAGACGATACAAGGAAAATAAATGCAAATTTTTAAAAAGAGCACAATTAATTTTAGAGGTTAGAAGTGGATCTATGCCTTCTGCTCGAAGAGAATACGGTCACCTCGTACCATGCAAACTTTGTCCGTTCGAGCAAAAATAAGGGAGCGCTATCCTTCAACGATAAAAGCCCGAGTTAGCATCAGACGAATGCGTGTGTGTTAACGTATCCTTTTTCTGGCTCTTTTCTAGTTTTGGTTGTTTGTTTGTTGTTATTTTGCTTATTTTTTAAGAACAAAGAAGCAAAACTAACCAGTTACCTAATTTACTGCACAGATACTCCTATCAGCAAAACTCTGCAACAGACCTTCCTGGAACATCTTCTCAGCACATACAGAGAACTGGAACGATCATTCATGAAAAAGGTGTACGAGCTTTACAAAGCCTTCCAGTTTCGTACACTCTGGGAGGGAAACAACCCGCTCTCTTCCTTCCAAAGAGTGGCCAGTGAAAGCGCGCGGGGGACTGGGCGCCTCAATGGTGCTGTCCAGTTAACGGAAGTGCTTCGTAAGACGAAGGACATTCAAGACAAGGCTATGCTTTGTTTCACTAACAATATTTATACCACTGATATTATGAAGTGGAGTTTTGACAACGTTAAAGACAAAGAGGTAAGTACATGTCCAGTGCAATACCGCAAAAAAATACAAGTTCCTCTCAGGACTGCTTCTCTTCATATTTCCTAAGTGCTGACAAGGAGAACGTGTTTAACAATCAAGACCTTCTTTAGTTGGTGATCATTTTCTTTATTCTCTTGACCTTAATGTTTGATTCAGAGGGTTGTTTTGTAAGGAGAAACTAGATGCTAGTCACTTTTAGGGATTAAAAGTTTAACTACACCACGAAGAGGAAGAAAAAAAGTTGGTCGCCGAAGAGATGCTGCGGTTCAAACGCAATTTGCATGACCAGTACCATTTCATTATAAAGGAGTAAAAAGAAGACTTCTTATATCTTTTTTTAATTTCAGATCTTTCAAGAGCTGTACAAAGGTCACACCAAATTCAGTCTCGACGTCAAAAACAGTTGTACCTCGTGTTACAACGTTCGTCTGCTAAAGGCGAGACACAGTTATTTTCTCCACATTGTCATTTTTACATTTCCTTTATCTACAAATTGTGACTTTCTGTTAATGCAGTTTTTTCCTATTCATCATTTCTACTTTCAGATTTATGTTGAGCTTTACGGCCCAGAAAAACAACCCGCAGGTGTCCCCGATAAAGTTCATCTTCAAATCCGCCATCTTAGCGGCTCAAGCTTTCGTGCAGGCGACAACAGCATCAAACACTATCGACAGTCTGTAGGCTCGTACAGGAAAATCACGTTTGACCGGTCAGCAGTTACTAAAGAAGGGAAGTGTAACAGGAAAAAAGCAAAGGGAAGAAACACCAGTAAGTGGGTTTTAATGATGCAATTTCACAGTGTTCTTGGCTTTTTCCAAAACTCATAGTACAGGTATCTTAAATTCTCATCAAAGTTTAGATTTTTTAGACCTGGAGAGAAGACCAATACTGGTCAAAGAATGCGCTGTAATCGGCCGTGGATTAAGTACTCTCTTTTTGTTATCAACCTGCAAGAGATTATATTGCTCGTGCGCTATTTTGTAATTTAATTTCATTCGTATATTTCTTTGGAATTCTTTACCCCCTAATATTATTTTTAAAGACAGAGTCAAGTTATTTTAAACAGCTCAGTTCTAAAACCCACATTTGATAATAGATGTTAGTAATACTTTCTTGGCTACGACAAACGAAATCACAAAAAACCGAAACAGCTCCCAGAAACCCCAAATCTCCATTTCAGGTCTAATTTACTGAATTATTTGGCGCAATTAAAATTGTGCAATCTTTTCCTTTTTCAGAATGCCTCAGCTTTTGCATGAACAAGGATGATTCTCGCTGGAATGAGATGTGTAGTCACCCCCTGAATCCAAGCGGGAGTACTTGCCAAGACAAACTCCTGGGAATGGAGGAATGCAAGAGTCCGTTTGGTATCTACGAACTGAAGATTCCTGTGAATAAAGACCTGGCTTGTGAAAACACAGGAATAACAGACAAGAACTGCAAGGATCTTGACGTAAGGAATTCAATAACACGGAGCTTTGAGTTCGAAAAGTCGCTAGTTTTCGTTTCCCTAGCTTTTCATCCCTTTTACAGATTACTACGAATGTCTTATTTTTCTTTCTCGATTCAAAAATAACACTTTTCAAACACCATGAATTACTAGATTGTAAGGTTGTTGTAACTCGTGCGAGATAATTTGGTTCTGAAGGCCTGAAAGCACGCCACCTAATCTTCCCGTGTGTCGTGCCTAGTGTCTTGTCATTACAACGTTCACACATGCGCAGACGTTTGAGCCCTGTGTTCCTAGTGTGTGACCTTACAAGCGAAAGCTAATGGGAAGCATTTTCACCTTTTTTTATCTTTTATTCTTTCACAGCTTAAAAAGTTTACGAAAATGAACGTGTGGACTCATTTTTTCTTCTGGTCAGACCATTATCCTACTGGACCGGAAGATCGCATATGTATGAGCCCGCGGAACAAAAGGAATGAAACGGAAGACATAGCTTGGGACTTCGTGTAGCACGAGATGATCAATAAAATTAAAAAATAAATTTCGAGAAGTATAACCTAAAAATTCGGCTAAATAAAGACGTATTTCCTTCAATATTGGGTTATGTTCATATAGTCCAAGTGTTCTTCTAGGGGTAGAATTGGGATGTTCAACAAGATGAGGGAAAGGTGGAGTAGGACGAGGAAGAGGAAGAAAAAAGGCCGTAATGATACTAATGAACTAAAATGAATACTTCACATCTAGAAATATTTGTCAAGACCAGTTGTACCCGTTTAGGAAGAATCAGAAGGAAGCCATCACGATTCGACTTCATTCTACCCCAGAAAAGTGAGATTTTTAATGCACATGACACACGTGTCATCGGTTCTATGAGAGCCTCGCAGAAAACAGATGTAAACAAGTGAAGTGCTTGTTACTTTAAAATTGTGTTTCATCGAATGTAAAGCTTCTACCATTTTCCTTTTTCTCAAATCCTTGATTGCTTTGTTGTTCTGTTGTCCCTCTGCGCGAAGGATTATATTCTTTAGAATATTGGCCATGGTCAGACCTGTGAGCGCTATCGAATGAAAACCGAAAAAAACAAGAGCGTCACCGCGTGCAAATTTTACAGGACACCAACAACAGCAATTCTTTTAAATCTTCTTTTCATTGATAGCAAACCACAAATGCTATCTAGAAGCTTTTGATAGGTAAACACAGATTAAAAAAGATGTAGCCAAGCTACAGTTAGCTAAAATTAATTCTGAAAAGGACGACATAGCGATAATTAATAGGAAGGAAGACTTAGAGTGGGTATCTCTTATAGGATAAGAGAGGAGAGAGACTAAGCACAAATTTGTACAATTGATGTGGTCGTACACAACGTCTTTTCGGTCAGAACGCGGAAGTGAGCGGAAAAGTTGGTGTCCTGAGCAAGATATGTATTTATCTAAAAGTTATCGTTTTATACGGCGTGGATTACACCAGAAAGCGTTCCTTACAAACGTTTTGAAATCCAGAAAGTTGCATGGGGGCGGTTCAGCATACGCTGCACTCGAACAACTTCGAGATATCGCTGTGACTCCTGAGCAACCAGAACTCTACCATGACGCAGTGAAGATTTACAACCCTGCGTACAGTTTGGAACAGCCAGCCTTTGTCGCTTTTCCAAAAAATGTTGAAGACATCAAGCGCTGTCTGAAAATCGCGGACAAAACTAATACTCCAGTCGCTGTTAAATCCGGGGGCCACTGCTTTGCTGGTTACTCCACCACTGACAGTGATGGTTTTGTCATCTCCCTTAAAAACTTGAATCAAGTTCATGTGCAGGAGAGCACGGTCACTGTTCAGGCTGGAGCTTGCTGGGGAGACGTGTATTCTGCGCTTGATGATACTGATTATGTAGCTGTCGGAGGATGTGTTCCGGCAGTGGGTATCGGGGGATACATCCTTGGGGGTGGTTACAGTATGCTGTCTCGTGCCTATGGGGGTCTGGCTTGTGATAAGGCGTTGTCATTTACCATGGTTAAAGCCGATGGAAGCAATGTTGTGAGGGCTTCTGCTAAAGAGAATGAAGATCTCTTTTGGGCTTTGAAAGGTGGAGGTGGTGGAAATTTTGGAGTGATGGTTGATGTTACTTTAGAAGTGAGTCCACGACCTAAACAATTCATCTGGACCCGTCTCATTTATAACACAACTGATCAGAGTGAACAAGGGCTCAGAGTGGTGGGTAAAAATTTACATAATTTCCCGAAGGAACTCAATCTTGACATGGCTCTTCATGGGTACTTCGGGAAGAAAACACTGACTTTGGATGCAGTATATTCTGACGTTCATGAGGATGCAGTGCAGTCAAGCCTTGAAAGTCTTCATCCACCGGTAGAAACACAACCTCAGGTGTTCACATCCTTTCTGCAGTTTTCAACTGAATACAGCAAGCGGCATGGCTTTGTTCATCAGGAGGTAGAACCCATTTATGTTAAAGGAGTGATGATACAGTCCCTACCACCTTCTTTGGCCAAGTATTTTGCCCATGTTGAAATCCCACCAGAATGTCTTCTTGAGTTTGTTCACATGGGTGGTGACATTGCTCGACACTCTGTGACATCCACTGCTTTCCCCCTCCGCACTGCTCAGTATAGCTATTATACATATGGCAGGTTTCATAACCCAGCTCAGAGAGAGGAGGTTCTTAAGTTTGCAACAACAACCTACAATGCAGTCAGAGAATCTGGCTGTGCTCTTGGTAGTTATGTCAACTACATGGACCGCCACCTTAAGAACTGGGGTAAGAATTTTTATGGTGTGAATTACCCTCGTCTTTGTGAGATCAAGGACAAATGGAATCCTTTAGGGCATGGATCCTTGCATTTTCAGCAGGAGGTTGGTTCCTCATGGGAGCCTTGAGTTTTTCCTTTTTTATAGAATGAATGTGCCTTAAAAATGTAGAATTGCAAGCAAAAAGGTAAAAAGAAAAAACCAGTCTTAGAACAATTTTCCCCTATAGTTGAATGTTAGCTGATACTCTGGAAATTTCCTTTGCCCTCCTTCCCCCTCCCCCCACTGATTTTCCAGTAGTTATATGTTCTTTTATTTCAAGTTTTCCATAAATATAACAATGTTCTTAAAACAATTTTTTATTCCACTTTGGAAAGACCAAGAAACTATGAGTTTTATGAGTACAGTCAAAGTTGGATCAACTGTAACTGTAAAAAATCAGACTTATTGACTTTAAAAGTTATAGGTGAATAAAGAAGTAATAATAAAGTATAAATGTTAATAAATTAATAAAGTCTGAAAGTTTTGGACAACATGAATCAGGTTTTTGGGGACATGACTTTGGTTGAGATGGCTTTCAAGCGACTTGACAGTAAACCAGATTAACTCTTCCACCCCTAATCTAATTTCTCCTTAAAATATCACCCTCGAGTCACACATAAAGATCATGAGAAAAAAGGAAATGATCACCAATGATAGAAGCTCCAGATTGTTAAACAAATTTGCCTTGTCAGCACCTTATAAAGGAATGAATAAAGGAAATGGAGGGGGGTACTGAGGAAAATCTACTTTCGTTTTCGTCACCCAAGTTTTCCATCACTCAAAGTTTCCTCATTCCTCATGTAACTTTATTCCGGAGGGGAAGCATGGGAACTAACAAAATCCGACCCATAATCCTTTCAGCGCGTCATTTCAACATGGCGTCAATTTATGAATGAGTTGCTGTCGAACGGCTTTCACCGTTTTTCTAAAATTATTTGAAAGAGATCAGAACGTCGTCACAGGTAAAGTACACCTTTGAAAATATCCACTTCTTGTGCCCGAACTTTTGAATAGGAAGGATCAAGAGATATCGAGCTAATCAGCCTCTACCCGAGCGTATGACTTAACACATGCGAGCGGTGAATTCGAGAAGCTTTTGCTGCGATATGAAACACGCCAAAGTTTTTAATATTTATATACTAAACTGAATTGATATAGCCTTCTACGCTACTTAGATCGTCATATGAGCGATTTCATAGCCACAGGAGTAATATAATTATGCTTTTTGTCATCATGCACATGCATATTGTTTGACTACTGTACTAGCACTCTTTATTTATGTTAAAACTGTTCGTCGGCATTGCGGAAGTATTTAGAAGGATAAGAATGTCGTCACTTTTTTCATATAGCAATTAGATCATTAACTAAGTAATCTACAGATTATTTATCCTGAATCTTGATAACTGCCTAAGGTTATAGGTTAATTTTGAAGGTCGGCTTTGAGATGCATGTGTCTTATATCATTCGTCATGTACACTGTAGTCTCAATGGTTTAAATTTTCCTTTGTTTTCAAATTTTTAAACCAGCATGATTCTGAAACAAAAATACTTTGCCCTAAATCTTTTGCCATGATTTAAGGCATGGCATGACATTGTTTCTTTTTTAGGGGTTTCTAGGAAGGGTTTTACTTGGTAACGACGTTCTTTCTATGACACCAACCTTCCTATTTACTGGGCTACTTAAGAACTTAGACTCATGAACCTTTAATAGTTCATTTGACTCAATTAAATAAACTCCTATTGACTTCTGAAAGACTGGTACATTCTCCCTCCAAAATTGTCTTGATTTCCTTTGTAAAACAGAGGAAGTTGTAATGGTGCATTGAAAGTCACCAAGGGTCTTGCTTAATGCCATTCTCCAATTGTGTTTATTATTTTGATTGCAGGTTTAAAGGGGAAAAATCATGTCATCTTTGACTCCAACAAATGCTTTTCCAAATCCCCCAGCACCCATTCCTCGACCACCTGGGAGGGCAGGTAGAAGTACTCCTCGTCGAAGTTCTTCTCGGTCTATTAAACGAAAAAAGTTTGATGATGAATTGGTGGAGAGTAGTCTTAAGAAGGTGTCCAAACAAAGAGGTGATGTTGTTGTCCTGGAAAAAGAAATACAGAAAAGAACTTTGGTAAGGTCAGGGTTGTAGATTAGAGCCAGTAGCTGGCAAAGTATGCCAGCTTCTCTGCAAGGTTTCACCAGCTACTTTCATTGCTTTGAGAGCCCGTACAGAGATGATGTTTATCAGGTCTAAACTTGGGCTCAATAAAAATATAAATTTGCACTGCCTATCTTTTCTGAAAACATAAAAAGACTTCTGACTCAAGGTTAGTTTAAAAATGTTCTGATGGAGACTGTCTTTTTGACAAATCTTGCTGCAGTGGTAGGAAAGTACGAACGATATGACGTTTTGTCCACCATATTGGATTTTGAGACCCACAACCGTTCACCTTTAAAACCTTAAAGAAAACCCTGTAGGTACAAAAGTGTAACTGTTGTTGAATTCAGTTAAAGGTGGATGTGGATAAAGTAGACTATAAAATAGAAAATCACAATATTGGCAAATGTACAAAAGCTTTTGGATAAAAAAAAATGTGTCTGGCAATTTAATTGCTTTGTTCTAGGGGATTTAAAGCTCCTTACTGCAAGTTCTTCTTGCTTCACTGTTCATTTATACTTCATTTGAAATAGCAGCCAGCTTTAGGTTAGGTGGACATCTAGCTGAAGTCCTATTGATAGCCTTAATAGAACCAAACCACATCATTCTTAACACTGCTGTTACAAAATCCCATCACTCACCCCTGCTCTAGCACATTTATTTTGCCTTGGCACTTGATCACAAAATTAAAGCACCCTTCAAATCAACAGAGGCAAACTTTGATCCAGACCAAAAAATGCCCCTGCATGTTGATTGATCCTTTGTATCAATTTCTTTATTGAAGGGAAACCTCTTCAAAGGCCACTTTTACTAGTCCAATGGGTTTCCCCCCACCCCCAATGGATTTTCCTTTAAATAACCTTTCTATAGTTTTTATCCTTTGCATTGTTCACTTCATTGAAGGGACACCTCATTTCAAGGGACACTATAAGCAGTCATGAGGCTGTCCCCCAAATGAAGTTTCCTTTGCATGACCTTTTTATAGTTTACCTTCATTGGGGAGAAAACCTCTGTTCAGGCAACACTGTTAGTTCCAGGAGTGTCCCCTTGATTCAAGTTGTCTCCTGTACTAAGACTTCTTTTATGTGAATTTTTACAGCCCACAGGTAAAGGCTCCTCAAGGAAACAGAGAAAAAGCAAGGTTAGTATCATAAATATTAATCATATCATCAAATATTTTGATACTGCAGGGTTACTCTTGGGAGTGAAAGTGTTAATCTTTTGACCCCTCAGAGAGACTAGCCTCTAATTTCTCCTTACAATATCACACCTGAATCAAACATTAGGGTGACGAGAATGAATGAAAAGATCACCAAATAAAGAAGCTTGTGGTTGTCGAACAAGTTCTCTTTGTCAGCACCTTAGGCAATATATACAGAACATTA